GATATAGCTCTATTGTGAGCACTCCGAGTCAGATGGTGACTCCTGTAAATTCTAATTTATCGTCTTCGGCACCAGCTTTTCGACCACGCAATTTAAATGTTAATGGTAGTCATTCGTCCTCTTCCACTGTGATCGGTCCACCCGCATCGGCGGTCACTGCTATTCGACAGACATTTCACGCTGCGCAGAACAAAGCAGTTCTATTGGGAACAGCCATGGTCAATATTGTTCACCATGGTGCTTGTTTTCCTGCTCGGGCGTTAATAGATCCGGCTTCTGAGTCGTCTTTCATTTCTGAACGGCTTCAGAAGAAATTGAAATTGCCGGTTAAACCCACAATTTCGACAATTCGTGGAGTAAATAGTACTGTTGCCACAACTTGTCGAAAAATATGTTCATTTAAACTGGGTAGTTGTCGTAATAGGTCTCACAGTTTGGAAACGTCAGCATTGGTAGTAGATTCCATATCGGGAAATCTTCCATCCATTTCGATTACTTCGGATCTTAAATCGGATTTGTCAAATATAGTTTTGGCAGATACCGATTTCCTTGAATCTCGTCCAGTAGATATTTTGATAGGAGCAGACTTATATCCACAAATCGTAAAAAATCATAGTTTTCGACTTTCGTCTGGATCGCTGCTCGCTCAAAATACTAAATTTGGCTGGATAATTACTGGTCCTATAACATAAATTGTTTTCGTATATCGTACGAAATCGTTGTAAGGCGGCCCTCAATAAACAACACACGATTTGGCTCACATATCGAGGGGTCCCTAATGGCCCTTTCGTTTCGCGGGGTCCCTAATGGCTCATTCGTTTCGCGGGGTCCTTCATGGCTCTATCGTTTCGCGGGGTCCCTAATGGCCCTTTCGTACCACAGGTCCTTTCTGGCCTCATACATCCGCGGGGTCCCTAATGGCCCTTTCGTACAATAGATCCTTCATGATCTGTGTAATCGCGGGGTCCCTAATGGCTCGATCGTTAGCATGTAAGCATGTTTTTTGAAAAAATTAAAAAAAAAGAATGATGAAAAAATATTTGGAAAAATGTAAAAGGTTTTGCTCACTCATGCACTATGCCGTTATTTATAATTTATCATATTTGTTAAAACATATGGATGTTTCAAGGGAGGCGGCAAATGTTTAAGCAAGAATCGATGTGTAAAATAGTTAAATAGTTTGCCTTTAATTTGAAAGGTCGTAGCCGTTGAAATCTGTCTACTCCTCATTATTACATCCTTGTAATAGTATGAGGCTGACAGATTTCAACGGACTTTTGTTTACATTTTGCTATTGCGCCACCTTTAGGCATCTATGTGTCAACAAACAACATTAGTATTAACTTGGATAACTTCTCGTTGTAACCTACTGGCCGCACATATCGTTGTGAACACCTTGGCTTAAATTGTAAGCTACGCACATATAGTTGTGCTAATAAGGTAATATCGTTACCAACAATAAATAGTCGGCATTGGTCGAAACCTTTTATTCATAAACATATTGTGTTTTATTTCTATTTCTTTTTTGCTCACGAGTACGCATTGGGCGTACGGACTCTATTGGGAGACTTTCGATTGCACTATACCTGCCAACCACCCAAGTCCCTATAGTGCGGACTTAACACTATATAAATATTATAGGGGTTTATATTAGAAACCCCTTTGGACTTCCATTAGAAGAACTTTTTGTTTTATATTAAAAACATGTTGGGCTTCTAGGTAAAGAAAGATCTGTTGGTCCTTCACTTGTACACCATTTGGTATTCTAAAAATACATTTTCGATTCATATAAAATTCCTGATTGTCTCCTAGAAGAAAACCTTTTGGTCTTCAATAAAAATATATTTTGGTCTTATATAGAGAGATCTGTTGGTTTTCTATGAGAAGATTCGTTGGACTTCTATCAGATATTTTGGTCTTCCATAAGAAGGTCTTTCTATTAGAAGACTTCTTGGTATTCCACAAGAAGACCAATTTACTATAAGAAGGCCTATTTGTCTTCTATCTGCCTATTTACCCTGTTTATATTTTTTAACAAAAGCTGTTGGTCATCCATGAGAAAACCTTTTGGTCTTCCTTGAGAACAACTTTTGGTCTTCTATAGGAATAGTTATGGAAGGCCAAATAAAATGGACTGCTAAACTTTTATAAGAAGGCATAGTGGACTTCTATAAAAGGACCTGTTTGCCTTCTACAAGAACACCTGCCTTCTATATAGATACTTATTATTATTTTGTTTTTCACAGATGGCCAAATGCATCTTTACAAATTTTGGTTTCTATAAAAAGACCTCCTGGTTTTCTATAAGCAGACCATTTGATCTTCTATTAAATTATCGGACATCTCACAGAATACCACGACAATAAAATATGAAAAGAGAATATATGATCATAATTCATTCTCAACAAAAAAGAGATCATTATGAACTCTTAAATCTTGATTTCTTCTCATGTGGGCACTTAGATCTGATAACAATTTTTTTATGCTCAAATTCTAAATCATTTATCATGCCACACAACCGGCAAAACAAACTAAAAAACTCACAACAATCATTAATTTTCTCCAAATGATTTGGATCAGCAGCTGTAGCAGCATCATCATTTAAATGTGGGAGCAATGAAAATTTCACTCGCAACATTCCATGTGCTATTGCGATGGTGGCTTCAGTTGTGAATCGGACTTAAATGTGAACGGTATTCGAATTGAAATTAAAACGGAAATTTAGTTTCAGTACAAATAAAATATAACACATCATGACTAGAAAAAATCTCTAACTGGAACAATAGAAAAAAAACTTCAATTTTTTTTATTTCACTGGAAAAAAGTAAAATTTATAATTGAAATAATTACCGGCACACCAACAACAATGAATAAAATCGGAAATATATAATTATTAACAAGAACAATAGAAAAAAATCGGTGGAAAAATCATGTATTCAAACGTAGCCTATCTGCCGCCAGCCTCTCCTCATCCACAGTTTTTTTTATGTGGAACTCCAACAACGCACAAAAGGGGTTGCTTGGTTGTCTATTGACAAACATCTCATCGTAATGACTATTGGCCTATTGAAGCTTTGTTTATATAAAAATTGTATTTTATTTACATGTAATACCCTTCACTTTCCCTCGGTCAATACTTCCATACACGCCAATATTTTTTTGCAAATATTTATTGCAATTCAAATTTGAAATACAATTGATAGAGAGATTAGAATGTTTACCGGCTTAGTCACTACTTTGAATAGGTCAAACATTGATTAATTGCGGTTCATTGTAACATGCGGAATAGCAAGGGATCAAAATAAGAAGAATAGCTGTTGGTATCACATAAGAAGATCAGTTGATCTCCTATACGATGACCTGTTGATCCTCCATAAGAAGACCATTTGATCTTCAATAAAAAGGCATTTTGGTATTCCGTAAAAAAGCCTGTCAGACTTCTAAAAATCACGCTTCTGGCCCAGGAAATGGGCTAAGTATTTATTTGAAAAAATCCACGCTTAGAGCTCTGGAAATGGTCTAAGTATTTATTTGAAAAAATCCACGCTTAGAGCTCTGGAAATGGTTAAAAATATTTATTTAAAAAATTCACGCTTAGAGCTCTGGAAATGGTCTAAGTATTTATTTAAAAAATCCTCGCTTAGAGCTCTGGAAATGGTCTAAGTATTTATTTGAAAATATGTCCTCCACTTGAAGACCTCCTTTTATAGAAGGCCGTATAGGTCTTCTGTTGAAAGACACACACAAGGCGTGGATTTTCAAAGAATAATTTCCAGGGACCTACAAAAGCCGTGGATTTTTTAAAGAATATTTTTCAGGGTCTCTTATCTTTCAGGTCTTCTTATAGAAGGCCGTTTAGGTCTTTTTATAGAAGGCCGTTTAGGTCTTCTTATAGAAGGCCGTTTAGGTCTTCATATAGAAGGCCGTTTAGGTCTTCTTATAGAAGGCCGTTTAGGTCTTCTTATAGAAGGCCGTTTAAGTCTTCTTATAAAAGGCCGTTTAGGTCTTCTTATAGAAGGCCGTTTAGGTCTTCCCATAGGAGTCCGTATAGGTCTTCTTATAGAAGGCCGTATAAGTCTTCTTATAGAAGGCCGTATAGGTATTCTTATAGAAGGCCGTATAGGTCTTCTTATTGGGTGTATAGGTCTTCGTATAGAAGGCCATATAGGTCTTGTTATAGAAGGGCTCAGGATATTCTTAAAAATAGTTAGCCATTCTAACTTCCCCAATCCATTTAGGGCTTTTGATGGGTCTCCATATCGAACAAGTTTCCTTATAAAACTTCTATCAATGTAGGAAGTAAATGTGTCCAGTATTTTTTGGTAGTCCGAACAATGACGAAATACGATTGTTGTTGTTGTTTTATTTTTTAACAAAGTAATCTTGTTTACAAAATTTCCAAGCCAAATACGGCCACTTACAAAAATTTCTCAAATAACTGTCATTCAAAATGTCCGGCTTCTTTTGTTGTTGGAGTATATAAATAGAGGCTCGTCTGAATAGAATGGTTTCAGTCCAGGGTGTCATTCTAAATTGAAATCAATTTAAGATATTGAAACGGTTCGGAATAACTTGTAAGCTAGCAAGCCAGCTAGCCAGTCGGTCCGTCAGTCAGTCAGACCTGTGTGAATTTGTGTGTCCATATTAAGTGAAAGAAACAACAAAAACAAATCGTCATCACAAAGAGGCGACAAATAAAATTCCCAAAAAGCTGCTGGCGGGACATATTCATATGATATGAGGTTCATGAGCAAGAGATTTGATTGAAGATTACGATAATACACGTCGTCCATAATTCAATTTTCAAAAGAGGAACTGCAAAAAAAAAACTTAAATTGAATTAAGTCAAGATCAAAGACCCATTTTACATTGAGGAGACGAAGAAGATAGCCACACCGTCATCGTACATTCATTCAAGCTTATGCACCGTTCATTCATTTCACATTTTTATTTTTTGAGCGACACACAAAGAACGAACCCACAATTGTTTGATATACAAAATGCTGCATAATTTCTTTAGACAACAACAACAACGGCAACATCATCATCAACGACGCCAACAACATGTGTTTCAAATTATTGCCCTGGTCTTGATTTCCCAACACATCGTGTCAACAATGTCTGCTACCGCCACCACAACCTCAATTGCTCGCGATAACAATGATGAATTCTGGGATTTGGGTTCATCTCGACCCGATGAAAATCTCACAAAATTACGCCTGTGGTTGACCATCAGTGCCCAAAAACGTTTCCTAGAAGTGTCATGGATCAATGCTCCCGCCTTGGAAGATGATCGCATTATGATTACCTCGGGAGAGCCGTATCATTTTGAAAAATTAAAATATATACCCACGGAACAGACCCCTATGGCCGAATTTAGTAAAGAGTTTGAAAATGATTCTTCCATATTATCACAAGAAGATGGTAGTGGTGGGGGAGAACCCATTGCCTCCACAACAACACCTCACTCACGGGGATCACCATATAATGCCAAGGACATACATTATTGGATATCGAACAATGGTTCGAATCACATTGTGGCCGCCTTAAAACCCACAGCCAACTCCTTATGGTTTACCACAGGGGTCCCCTTCGATTACAACCTTTCGAAAAATGTCACTACCCAAACCAAATGCTATGGTTATTGGGCCTCGTATGTTAATGGTCAGGGTTACATTTTGGCCACCACCTGCCTTCGAGCCTTTCCACGATGGATGAATGAAATGCGTAATCAAATTGGACGATTACGTATGCGTGATCTCTTCATACCCGGTTCACATGATTCCGGTTCATATCGTCTTAACTTTGATCCTTTACATCATGAGACATTGGTTACCAAATATTCGCTGTGTCAGGATGATGATGTTCGCGGTCAGCTAATGCATGGTATACGTTATTTAGATATACGAGTCGGATATCATCGTAATACCCCAGAGTTATTTTTCATAAATCATGGTATTACCCGCCAGAGGCCTTTGGTGGAGATTATCGATCAGGTTAAGGATTTTGTTGAAGAAACAAATGAAATTGTCATATTTGGCCTGAAGGAGTTCCCTGTGGGTAGGTATATGAGAAAAAAAGCAATTTTCTTTAAGATACTTCATTAAAAAATATTCATAAGAGGTCTTCCCTTGAACCACGTATAGGACTAATTCTTATAGAGGCCCATATATGTTTTCTTATAGCAGGTCGTATATGTATTCTTACAGAAGGCCGTATAGGTCTTCTGATAGAAGGCCTTATAGGACCCTACAGGTCTTCTGATAGAAGGTCCTATAGAAGGCCGTATAGATCTTCTTATAGAAGGTCATATGGGTCTTCTGATAGAAGGTCATATAGGTCTTCCTTTAAGAGGTCGTATAGATCTTCTTATAAAAGGCCGTATATGTTTTCTTATAGAATGCCGTATAGGTGTTCCTATAGAATGCCGATAGGTCTTCTTATAGAAGGCCGTATAGGTCTTCCTATAGAAGGCCATAAAGGTCTGCCTATACAAGGCCATAAAGGTCTGCCTATACAAGGCCGTATGTGTCTGTCTATACAAGGCCGTATAGGTCTGCTTATAGAAGGTCGTATAGCTGTTTGTATAGAAGGTCTTCTGATAGAAGGCCCCATAGGTCTTCTGATAAAAGGCCGTATAGGTCTTCCTAAAGAAGGCAGGATAGGTCTTTTGATAGAAGGCCTTATATGTCATCTGACAAAAGGCCGTACAGGTCTGCCTATAGAAGCCCCTATAGGTCTGCCTATAGAAGGGCCCATATGTTTTCTGATAAAAGGCCGTATAGGTCTTCCTATAGAAGGCCGTATGGGTCTTCCTAAAGAAGGCAGTATAGGTCTTTTGATAGTAGGCCTTATATGTCATCTGATAGAAGGCCGTATAGGTCTGCCTATAGAAGGCCCTTTAGGTATTCCTATTGAAAATATATCAGACTTTCTATTATTACATGAATTACTATTTCTTCTTCCTCTTTTCTATTTCCAGGCTTTGGTAAAAATCTAACCATACATCACAAATTAGCCGAATTTCTAAAGGAACACTTTGGCAATCTGGTGGTACATCCTTCGGCGACATGGCGGGCATCACTAAATGACATATGGTCGCGAAAACAAAATGTCATTCTAGCATATGATAAATATGAAATGGTACAACGGTATCCCCATCTATTATTCGGTTCTGTCGAACAGAGATGGGGAAATGTACAAAAATGGTCTGATTTGGAGGCTTTCTTGAGATCCATTAATGATAGTGATGTGTCGTAAGTTAAATGGAGTTTGAAATTAATTATAAAAATTGTAAAATTGTTCAAATTTCATTACAGACGCCTCTCTAGTCGTCCCATTGCCGATATGGCTGAGCTAACGCCCAAAGCCTGGGATGTCATAGTCAATAAATATGGTGGCCTTAGAAAAATGGCAGACAAAGTTAATTGGCGTGTCTCTCAGCTGTATGCTAATGATTTGGGTGCCAATGCAAATATTGTTGCGGTAGATTTTTATCGCGGCACCACGATAGTGGAAACAGCAATGGATTGGAATCGAAGAAAAATTGTATATTAAATTGCAGTAAACTAAAATAAATTTCAAATGTTTTTTTATAGCTCTATGTTATGAGGGAAATGTTTTGAATTCTCAATAGTAATATTTTTTCTTATAGAAGGTCGTATGGATCTGATTACAAAAAGCAACGTATATGCCTTATACTTGTAGAATGCCGTATAGGACTTCTTGTGATAGAAGGCCGTATATATCTTCCTATAGAATTCCGTATAGGTCTTCCTATAAAGGGCCCTATAACCTTCCTTTAGAAGGACGTATAGTCTTCTGATAGAAGGCCTTATAGATATCTCATCTGGAGACGGTCATATAGAAAGCCATACAGATATTCTTATAGATGACTAACAAAAGGCCTATAGGTTTCTTATAGAAGCCTGCTTGGTCTTTTTATAGATGACGGAATATGCATTTTTATTGGTCTTCTTATTAAAGACCGATTAGGTATTCTACACCGTATAAGTCTCCATATCCGTCCGTCACACCCAATGTTCCCGTCCAATACTTTGCGATTTGGTTTAACGGAAATCAATGCCCTAATATGGCAACATTGTTGCCCATTGTGAATGAACAAGATTGCACTCAACTGTGTTCGATGATTATTTGCTGATTCACAATAGTTGTTAATGTGGCCACACTTCAGATTGGAATTCGATATGGTAGTACCATCAATTCGAAACCCAACAACTTAACCGTTATTTTCATATTCTGACTGACAGACCCTAAAAAAATATTCTTTAAAAAATCCACGCCTTGGATGATAGACCCTAAAAAAATATTCTTTAAAAAATCCACGCCTTGGATGATAGACCCTAAAAAAATATTCTTTAAAAAATCCACGCCTTGGATGATAGACCCTAAAAAAATATTCTTTAAAAAATCCACGCCTTGGATGATAGACCCTAAAAAAATATTCTTTAAAAAATCCACGCCTTGGATGATAGACCCTAAAAAAATATTCTTTAAAAAATCCACGCCTTGGATGATAGACCCTAAAAAAATATTCTTTAAAAAATCCACGCCTTGGATGATAGACCCTAAAAAAATATTCTTTAAAAAATCCACGCCTTGGATGATAGACCCTAAAAAAATATTCTTTAAAAAATCCACGCCTTGGATGATAGACCCTAAAAAAATATTCTTTAAAAAATCCACGCCTTGGATGATAGACCCTAAAAAAATATTCTTTAAAAAATCCACGCCTTGGATGATAGACCCTAAAAAAATATTCTTTAAAAAATCCACGCCTTGGATGATAGACCCTAAAAAAATATTCTTTAAAAAATCCACGCCTTGGATGATAGACCCTAAAAAAATATTCTTTAAAAAATCCACGCCTTGGATGATAGACCCTAAAAATATATTCTTTAAAAAATCCACGCCTTGGATGATAGACCCTAAAAAAATATTCTTTAAAAAATCCACGCCTTGGATGATAGACCCTAAAAAAATATTCTTTAAAAAATCCACGCCTTGGATGATAGACCCTAAAAAAATATTCTTTAAAAAATCCACGCCTTGGATGATAGACCCTAAAAAAATATTCTTTAAAAAATCCACGCCTTGGATGATAGACCCTAAAAAAATATTCTTTAAAAAATCCACGCCTTGGATGATAGACCCTAAAAAAATATTCTTTAAAAAATCCACGCCTTGGATGATAGACCCTAAAAAAATATTCTTTAAAAATCCACGCCTTTTTTTCAGGGACTATCAACCCTAAAAAAATATTCTTTAAAAATCCACGCCTTTTTTTCAGGGACTATCAACCCTAAAAAAATATTCTTTAAAAATCCACGCCTTTGATGATAGACCCTAAAAAAATATTCTTTAAAAAATCCACGCCTTGGATGATAAGACCCTAAAAAAATATTCTTTAAAAAATCCACGCCTGAAAAAATATTCTGGCGCAAAAGGTAATAAATAATTAATTTCTGTATCGAAAATTTGCTCTTGAAACTCAATAAATATGGTGGCCTTAGAAAAATGGCAGACAAAGTTAATTGGCGTGTCTCTCAGCTGTATGCTAATGATTTGGGTGCCAATGCAAATATTGTTGCGGTAGATTTTTATCGCGGCACCACGATAGTGGAAACAGCAATGGATTGGAATCGAAGAAAAATTGTATATTAAATTGCAGTAAACTAAAATAAATTTCAAATGTTTTTTTATAGCTCTATGTTATGAGGGAAATGTTTTGAATTCTCAATAGTAATATTTTTTCTTATAGAAGGTCGTATGGATCTGATTACAAAAAGCAACGTATATGCCTTATACTTGTAGAATGCCGTATAGGACTTCTTGTGATAGAAGGCCGTATATATCTTCCTATAGAATTCCGTATAGGTCTTCCTATAAAGGGCCCTATAACCTTCCTTTAGAAGGACGTATAGTCTTCTGATAGAAGGCCTTATAGATATCTCATCTGGAGACGGTCATATAGAAAGCCATACAGATATTCTTATAGATGACTAACAAAAGGCCTATAGGTTTCTTATAGAAGCCTGCTTGGTCTTTTTATAGATGACGGAATATGCATTTTTATTGGTCTTCTTATTAAAGACCGATTAGGTATTCTACACCGTATAAGTCTCCATATAGAAGTCCGTCACACCCAATGTTCCCGTTCAATACTTTGCGATTTGGTTTAACGGAAATCAATGCCATAATATGGCAACATTGTTGCCCATTGTGAATGAACAAGATTGCACTCAGCTGTGTTCGATGATTATTTGCTGATTCACAATAGTTGTTAATGAGGCCACACATCAGATTGGAATTCGAAATGGTAGTGCCATCAATTCGAAACCCAACAACTTAACCGTTATTTTCATATTCTGACTGACAGACCCTAAAAAAATATTCTTTAAAAAATCCACGCCTTGGATGATAGACCCTAAAAAAATATTCTTTAAAAAATCCACGCCTTGGATGATAGACCCTAAAAAAATATTCTTTAAAAAATCCACGCCTTGGATGATAGACCCTAAAAAAATATTCTTTAAAAAATCCACGCCTTGGATGATAGACCCTAAAAAAATATTCTTTAAAAAATCCACGCCTTGGATGATAGACCCTAAAAAAATATTCTTTAAAAAATCCACGCCTTGGATGATAGACCCTAAAAAAATATTCTTTAAAAAATCCACGCCTTGGATGATAGACCCTAAAAAAATATTCTTTAAAAAATCCACGCCTTGGATGATAGACCCTAAAAAAATATTCTTTAAAAAATCCACGCCTTGGATGATAGACCCTAAAAAAATATTCTTTAAAAAATCCACGCCTTGGATGATAGACCCTAAAAAAATATTCTTTAAAAAATCCACGCCTTGGATGATAGACCCTAAAAAAATATTCTTTAAAAAATCCACGCCTTGGATGATAGACCCTAAAAAAATATTCTTTAAAAAATCCACGCCTTGGATGATAGACCCTAAAAAAATATTCTTTAAAAAATCCACGCCTTGGATGATAGACCCTAAAAAAATATTCTTTAAAAAATCCACGCCTTGGATGATAGACCCTAAAAATATATTCTTTAAAAAATCCACGCCTTGGATGATAGACCCTAAAAAAATATTCTTTAAAAAATCCACGCCTTGGATGATAGACCCTAAAAAAATATTCTTTAAAAAATCCACGCCTTGGATGATAGACCCTAAAAAAATATTCTTTAAAAAATCCACGCCTTGGATGATAGACCCTAAAAAAATATTCTTTAAAAAATCCACGCCTTGGATGATAGACCCTAAAAAAATATTCTTTAAAAAATCCACGCCTTGGATGATAGACCCTAAAAAAATATTCTTTAAAAAATCCACGCCTTGGATGATAGACCCTAAAAAAATATTCTTTAAAAAATCCACGCCTTGGATGATAGACACTAAAAAAATATTCTTTAAAAAATCCACGCCTTGGATGATAGACCCTAAAAAAATATTCTTTAAAAAATCCACGCCTTGGATGATAGACCCTAAAAAAATATTCTTTAAAAAATCCACGCCTTGGATGATAGACCCTAAAAAAATATTCTTTAAAAAATCCACGCCTTGGATGATAGACCCTAAAAAAATATTCTTTAAAAAATCCACGCCTGAAAAAATATTCTGGCGCAAAAGGTAATAAATAATTAATTTCTGTATCGAAAATTTGCTCTTGAAACTCCGCTTGACTTCATGTCGCATCAAAGCTTGATTCGTGTCTATAAGTTCATGTGTGTTCAAAATCGAAACACCTTTCTTATTTTTTCTAGATTTTTTGCTGTTATTGCTTTGTTTTTCTACAAGTGTTTTGCAACATGAAAAAAAATTACAAAAACAACATCGGCACAAAGTAATGGGTCAACTACCTTACATATGCCGCCGCTACACCATGAATACTAAACGTTACTTGGAATGGTGGTTTCTGCTCGTCTACTCCTCATCATCCATTGTGCATTGAGCGTTATCAGCAGTTTTTTTTGCAAACATGTCAATATATTTTTCTTTTTCCCCACTCCGCTCTCCACTTCGAACTGTTGTGGTGGTCGTCGTCGAAGTGTTATCATTAACCCGCTGAAGAATTACATGTATGCGAGTGTGTGGTGGTTTGTTGGAGAAAGGGAATTTGGTTTTGAATATTAATTTCAATTTAAGTCGAGATGAGCAAAGTGGGGTTTAAAGAAAGGAGGGGGAAGTGTTTGTGTGTATGCATTTCGGTTTATTGATAAGTCGTGGTTGTTATGATTATTATTATGTATTTTAATAACGCTTTGGAAGAAGTTTATCGCATCGCTTGAAAAAGTGTGTTTGGGTCAAGAAATCCATAAAAATATGACTTACTTATTTAGCTGACTTGTGACCGAACTTTTATTCCTTAAGCCCAGCTTAAAAAAGATTTCGGTTTTGTGCGCAGTTTGAAAGACCATGGTACAGCTCATGGTTCATTCGACGGCGATATTCACCGTCGACCCATAGATCTTTCGGAGAATTTTTCTCTCAAGCATTCAACACTCCAATTTTTCTCTT